TTTATTTTGGGGCTAGGCTAATTGGTGTGTATGATTAAAAATGTATAGGGGTTAGGGATTTCCCAGACAAAAAAAAGGGTAGTAGGGGTAAGTCATAAGATATCTCATCTTCTCATCCTTTTTTGCATTCCAATCTTCTGAAGACGCTCCTCGAAAATAACGATTCATCACTCTTAAGGACTGCCATGCTTGTCCGTTTTTTTTGCATAAGCCGTCTTCGTGACATGACGGATGGTAAACCTTCGTATATTTTAGATTCCTTATTGTAGATTGTGTGCAAAAATATTAAATTACTAACGGCGGCGCGCGACTTCGTCCACGTCCACTTTAGTTTTTTGATAATCCAACAGGAATCTAACATTATTACGAGATAATCGTATATATAGGTCTTTAACTATATGCATACCAAATTTCATCTAAATCCGTTCCGCATTTTTTGCGTTATTGTGTAAGAAACATACAAACTTTCACATTTATAATTATATGCACGTCTTTTGCGGAACGTCTCTCGAGCGAGAAAATAGTTAGTCGCTTCCTTGCCGGCGCGGCAATCGGATAACTGCCTAATGGAGGAATGAGAACTATGTATGTGTATATATTTGTGCCGTTTGATGTTAAGACTATGGGCCCATGGGGTCCAAGTCTAGTGACCAAAAGACTGGCAGCTATCTTGGTCAACGGATCAGCCTTGTCATTCAACATGGCAATGCTGCCAGCCTATTAGGCACCATTCGTGACAGCGGCGCTGGGGGTGACATACTTTTTATTTTGTAAATTAGATATTATTCGTAAGTAGGTTAAGGAAATTAGGGTTAAAAAATAATACATTAAGCATGGACGTATAAAAAAAGGCGGACAGAATTTCGGCTAAGACAATACTGAGGCACCGTAATGGCGGCGGCTATTGATGAGTGAGTGAATTGTAGGGTTGCTAGGTAAGCCAATTTTTTACCAATGAAACACAGTAAAAAGATGAAAATATTTTAATTGTACAAAATTTTACTTTTTGCCCGACTGTGGAGGATTATGTTTTTCGAGCATATGTATGCATGTATGTATGTATGTCCAATAATTTGGCACGCCCTACAGCCTGAACGTCTTGACGGATTTTGACATGCGATGTGTCATTTGATTTGTCGTGATTGTGTGAGTGGCACTGGGTATATTAAAATTTCAAAAACTCAAAATAACTGATTTTATACGCCAAAATGAAACTTTTTGAAAAAAGGTATAAGTATTTTTATAACCTGTCAAGCGAGGTATCAAAGTGAAGGGTTTTAAAAGAATATTTAGAAAACATACAACTCGTGTGATTAAAATAAAAATGAAATTAAAATGTAGAAAATAAAAAAAAATGTACTAAAAAGAAAAAAAACTATTGTTGTCTATAATTCTGTTTAATAAGGAACAAAGTTACTTTACAGTCGGGACTCATTAGAAATTCTAGAATGTATCGAATTTTCTCAATCAATATTGAGAAAGACCATCAATATTTACCCAATGGTAAATCAACTAAATATAGATGGCCTGGCCTGCATTCTCTTTCATATTTCTTAAAATAAACTAACACCCATTGAGTACTGTTTGTAATTGAGGAGTTCCATTCTTTTCCTCCGAAAGTACTCATCAGATCTCCAGTAAATTAATATGCAGCCATCTCGCTAGTAAACTGATTAAAACAAAAAAAGAATCATCATAAACGGTCCACGAATCTCGGAGATCTGCGCGAACAACAATAAAAAAAAAACAAATATGACGCATTGCGAACCTCTTTCTTTACGAAGTCGGTTAAAAATTTTAATCAACCTTTTGAGGTAATGCATACGTAATTACACGCCGGAGTCCTCCTTTAGTTGTATATAAGTCTTGAGCTTCAAAATGAAGACTAAAAATGACACTACTACATATTTGTTTGGAAATCATTCATTTTCCAGTCATTTCTCCATACTACATTTTTTTAGGAAATCTGATAAAAAAGAATAATAAATAATAGATTGAAGTTAATGTCAACCCAATTTTCCATATTTTAGGTAATATGGTTACATGAACATTGGCAACACTGGACTTTAGACTAATCATTTTGTCCTTAGAATTAAAATTGATTTCGATTTCTAAAAACTGGAAAAAAATATTCAATTATTCATTTACCTATGAAACGTGATTCCTGGATTTTTTTTTCTTTCGGTCATTAACGTTTTTACACCTTTTTACAAGCAAGATATCTTGTTTAGCTTAATTTTATCTCCATGTAACGTGCCGGCTGCTTTGACGTTTGCACGCGTAGTGGCTGACTATTGTGTGAATGTGTGCGTGCCAGCTTGTACGTATAGCGATATTTAGTTGGTCCAGATTCACAAATACAATTCGATAACTCTTTTATTTATACCTGATTATTGCAATAGCTATTCCTTTGTTCAATTAATCCCATTGATTTTGACTATTCGTATCTAAAAAGATTAATTCAAAATTTCTACGTTCTTCACGTTGAGTTAATCTAATTTAGTAAGGACTGCACCTACAAAAAACAAAGTTATCGATTTTTTATCTGTTATAATACCCTCAAACTCAACGCCACATTTGGCGTTATAGTTAGTTTTAGATGCCCTTGAAACAAGTGGCATTGCTGCAGACTTGATGGCAGGAAATTATAAGGAAACCTTTAGCTTTGTTTCATCTTCTTCAATGGGAGCAAAGATTTGCAAGGCAGATGAAAATATATAACTTTATTGTCCTTGGTTATTGTTTGCGAACAATACCAGCAAAAGGGATTATCTAACGAAAGTCTGTTTATAAACATAATAAATACATAGACGGATATTTATACAAAAAGGACACACAGACGTCTTATTCATAATATTTCCAAATCTCAGGACAACCGTAGCAATATCCGGAGTATCTGAGGAGGTTACAATTAGAGGATTAAAGGAGGTCTCGTTCGGTTCCCTAAGACCAGACCGGATTTTACCTTAATTAACCACGTAATCGTCTTGTTTATCTGTTCTATTAAGTCTAGTGCTGCCGTGATGAATGGTGGCTCTCCCCCGATAACCTCTATTGACTATTGGCCGAATATAACAAGAAAAAGCCATCAAAGAGGCTTATCAACCCCGTAAATGAGATTATCATTTTTTTGTGTGAAGAAAGAGAAAATTATATGGACGTTTTCGGTATCGTTGGCCGAATAGGTATTCGATAGAATTGATCGTAATAGAACTAGAATAATATAAATAATAATCGTATAAGAAACTAAGGATAGAGGAACTCTATTGGAGAGTTGTGTGCTTGTAATAAATATATTTATGAGGGCTAGAAGAATTGGGTTTGAAAAAGAATGAATCGATATTTAGCACACCTAAAGATTGAAACACATCAAACAGCCTTAGGTTAGCGATACTGCGAATGGACGCGTTCATGCAACGCGCTGTACATGCCAAAAGGCGTTTGTGTAGAAGTTGGTTGTTTGTTAGTTAAATTTGTTTAAGTTGTGGTCCGTGATCGTCGCGTCGGCCGCCCGCATCTGTCTACGATATCACGAATCGCAAGAAGCCCACGTGACGTGGTGTAGTAAAATTATTCTAAAGTTTCGCAATCTCAGATGATGTATTTTATATAAAGCGAAAAGTATTTACACCAACGTTGACACGTGAACCAGTCAACAAATCACAAAAGACAAACCTTAAAAGTTGAACGCGTAAAAGTTTGGCCCATTTATCATTGAAAATCTATCGCTTTACGTAGCCTTAATTCAATATTTTACCGTCTGTGGTAGGCCATTTTTTAAAAATGTTCATATTTTTTTCGTGCTGAATTTATACATCTAAATCATTTCCTATGTTGCACTGGGAGCGAAAGATAAATCTTTTAAGGCTCTAAAAGTGAAATCTATCTTGAACTTTTTTACCAAAACCGACAAAAAAACAAAACCACTATAAACTTTGAAAAAATAGTTATAGTAAAATTAATAAGTTATTTTAGATAACAAGTATTTCTTACTGTTAATGCTGTCAACAAAACTCTCTCTACACTAGTTTGTAGTAGGTATTAGTAAAACCTACGAAGGGTCTTGGTTGCTCGCCAACCCGTTTTCAGTTTCTAGCTCTAAACACTTACCGCAAATCATTAGCGTCGGAACAAGTATCTTATATAACACTTCGCACATTTACAGCATCATTAATTACTAAGGTACTAAGTATCGCAAAGAGGTCGGTATAATAATAATTTATAGTAAGCTGGAAGTAGGTAGCTATAGTAACGTACACTAACTATCACTAAAAATTACTTGTAATGGCGTCTGTACTAAATGACTATTACAATTACAATATTCAATTACATCAAACACAGAACAACTTTTTATGTAGTAGAAACTGAATCAATAAAGAGATCCTTAGCAGAAATATATAGGCGTTACCTTGATCTAAGTATGAGATGTAAACAAAGAAACAAACTCATCGTTTTTACCACAATTCTTTGAGCTAGTTCAGCTCAAAGTTAGCGACACTGATTAAGTTTTTGTGGTAAAAGTAAATCTTCAGCTGCATCATTATCTTCACATAGTATAAAATAAAATTGCGGTAGCTGAAGATTTCGGCATACAGACAGAGGGATCTGAACGCTTAAACCTATTAAGGTATAATTCAAGAAGAAGGTTTTAATTATGTTTAATATAATAAATGCCCGAGAATGAAAACTATAGTCTCCGCCGAAGCGAAACGAGGGTAGCACTCTTAGCACGAACCAATGTTGAATTAAAATAATTGAATTCGATCTCGATACGCGTCAAACGTATGGAAGATTTTTAATTCTCGTTACGTCCGTTGTGGCGCTTTTCAAAATTATATACCTATAACTTCTTGATATTTGATACCTATCGAGATCGAATTCAACTATTCGAATTCGATATTGGTTCGTATCAAGTGTACGGGTCACTGGTATGGTACAAAAATGACTATCATTGCAGAAGTTTCAAATATCGAATTGCTGATCATACGTTTTTTGCGCAGGTTGCAACCACCGATTGCTTCGACAGTGCGAGTTGTGTCAGTAGGCGGGTCTACTCCAGGCGCTGGTGCCAGGTTGCTGCAGCTCGCGCCTTCTGGGCAGCACCTGGTGCTGGCGCCGTCTGCTGGCGACCCACAGCTGTGGCACGTCATGTCCAACTCCAGAGTTCACACGTTCAAAGGTAACCCAGATTATTAATCTATCTTTCCATGCTAATATTATGTGTGAAAGTGTGACTGTGTGTTACCTCTTCTATCTGAAACGGCTGAACAGATATAGTTTTAGTCTCCGGAAAAGACATTGGATAGTTTCTATCCCAGAAAGCATCCTCTAAGCAGGTTAAAAGGAGGATGGAATTTTATTTGAGTAATCAATTGAACCTCACAGACATAGTCTCCGACACCCGCTAGTGTTTATATAAATTCTCTATAGATGACAGGTTACTTAGTATCCAACTTATTTGTTAATTATGTTTAATTCACCATCACTCAATAGTCATGAAGAAATCCGGTGTGAATCCATTTCTGATGTGAATGTAGCTAGTGATACGTGCCGTTCCATTCGACATCTTAAAACCTGATAAATTGGTTGATAACGTGACATCATAACATACTCTTCGCGTCAGTGATCTACGGAAATAACCTGTAATATTCTGTAATATGGCTGCATGGACAGGAGGAAAACATTACATTATGATAGGAACAAGTGTGACGACGCTTCCGTATTTAATCGATATCAAATCGAAATCGAGTTGTTATTGACAGAGCGGATGACACTAACAGTTCATGACACTCACTTGACGCAGCTCGGATCGCTGGCCGCGTGGCTGAGGCACATTCAATTCTGTGATCATAATCGGTTTGCATCTGTAGCGTGCACCACGTAATCCGTAGAACGTTTTGATTTTGGTTCATTTCTAAAAGTTAGCTGTAATATTGAAGTTTGATTTTAGTGATTAAGTGACTTAAACGATTATGATTTATAATTCTGAAAAACAGAGGAATGATCGAAAGTCAGTATTCAATTATTTCTCCTCGCCCGAATCCACGCCACCCCGAAGCAAGAATAGAAGAAACCACTAACCCTGATATGGGCAGTTGCCTAATATAATCTATATTATGCTCCATTGCTGTCCCTTTTTGAATACAACAAAGATGGACGATAGGACGTGATCCTCTTAAGGCTTCAAAGACATAAACAATTTATTTTAACTCGACAATATTCTACCGATTTTTGACAACATCCCGACCCTCGTTAGCTAGCAAGACGTGGATTAACCCTTTTGCCTATAAAGTTGTATTTATTTCTTGAACGAACAAACCACTGATATTTATATAGCGATGTCATTTACATAGATTTTTTGCTTTACGACACTGTTTAAGAGTAGAACTTGTTTTGCACATGCTAAGCGTGATTTTAATATTTATATCGAATCGTCAATACAAACACTTTTGTATTTTCGTCAGATAATGCTTCTTTCAAGAATAATTTTACTTTTGGTCTCTCGCACTTGATACTATGTGATAGCTTCCTGTTTTAACACATCAGCTTGATTACTTGCCCTATTTCTAATAGTTTGTAGTTTGTCTCTATGCCTTTCTTCCTTTTCAACCTTGAGCAGTCTGATGGGCTGGTTAAGGTTGAAAAGGAAGAAACAAGCTATTACTACTACTGCTACGATTAAAAAAAACTATGAAAGTCGAGTGATTCTGTTATCATAACAGAATCACTCGAGTCTCATAGTTTATTTTTGCGAAAAAGAATCATTGTTTACTCACAGTAAATTGGCGTGAATATATTTTTTTTACGTTAAGCTATAGTTGCAGAAAAGGACCTATTATCTACATACATGATCAAACCACGCAATTTATTTTTCTCTTAGACCTTTCAATCACTGTGCTATTTTCTTCGCTATGTAATATTAATGTAATTTAAGTAGAAAGCAATTAAATACCTAGTCAAAGCAATTAAATACCTAGTAAGTTAATTACGAAACTAAATAGTGGCATAAAAAATCAATACTACGTAGCTTTTTTTAGCTCTCTGATGTCTGCAATGTCAAATTATATTACAAAATATTATACCATTTTCGTTTCGAAAATAATTACCTGCACGTGATATTGAGGAGAAAAATAAAACAAGATCATTTCAGGTGTGTTAGAATACAATGTTGTTATAATAATAATAAATATACCAACACTCACACCAATTAGCCTAGCCCCAAAGTAAGCACTGTAAGGCTTGAATTATGGGATTCTAGGGTAACGGATATAATACATATATAAGTATATTTATATAGAAATACATATTAAACATCCATGACTGGAGCACAAATGCTCGTATTCATCACACAAACATCTGCCCCCACCGGGATTCGAACCTGGGACAATGGGACATGAAACCCGGCGTACAAACCACTTGGCCACGGAGGTCGTCAAAACACCATGTTATAGTTACATACTTTAGAATAATTTACTTAATGATTCTAAAATAACTATAACGACGTTGTATTCTTTTCATATACTCATCTTAAGTTATTTTAAGGGATTCTAGGGTAACGGATAGAATACATATATAAGTATATTTATATAGAAATACATATTAAACATCCATGACTGGAGCACAAATGCTCGTATTCATCACACAAACATCTGCCCCCACCGGGATTCGAACCTGGGGCCTCGCAAGTCGGCGACACCATGAAACCCGGAGTACAAACCACTTGGCCACGGAGGTCGTCAAAACACCATGTTATAGTTACATACTTTAGATTAATTTACTTAATGATTCTAAAATAACTATAACGACGTTGTATTCTTTTCATATACTCATCTTAAGTTATTTTATGTTAAAAGGGTGTTACAAACAAGCGTATCTCCCATATGATGGTAAGCGGTCACCATAGCCTATAGCCGCTTGCGATACCAAAAATATCACGCACACCGTTGCCTACCCTGACCCAATCCCCTGCTCTATGGTGCCCTGGAACCTAACTTGCCGACAAAAACACTACTACACCAAAAGGTAGTGTTTTTAACACGTTTTTATTTGGTCGACCTATATGTAACTAACAGAGATGTGACTTATCTATATGTATACTAGCTGACCCAGCGAACTTCGTACCGCCCTAAAAAAATAGGGGTTGTCCAGCGGACAAAATTGTGAATCTAAACCATTCTCAGATCCCCTTGAACACACACAAAAAATTTCATCAAAATCGGTCCAGTCGTTTAAGAGAAGTTCAGTGACATACACACTCACAGAAGAATTATATATATAAAGATGAGATAAAAGTATCTAAGATACAAAATACGTATTTGTATCTTGTATTTCAAATACTTTTTTTAAATTTATTTTGTATCTTGTATTTAAATACTTTTTTTCAGTATCTTAGTATTTTGAAGATATTTTTTTTTTAACTAAGAGACTTTTTCTTTTCCTATATAATTTTCAACATTGATTTTAAAAAGCATGCATTTTTGTAAATTAGCGCGTTACTATTCTAAGCCTAAGTGCATTACTTTTCTAAAAAAAGAACATCGTAAGTTCATAATATGTTGCCATCTCGTTCACCTTAATGTTATGGGTTAGGTGGTAGTGAACAAAAAATACGTAACTTCCCCTAAGGTACGTTTTTTTGTTAGCGTTCACTAGAGGAAGAAGAGTTTTTTGAAATTTGTGAACTCATCTCTTGAACATGACCATTCGTAAACACGGCATATTATTAATAATCTCGGTCAATCGTCCCAAAACCAACCAATCGAAAACAACCTGCATATTATTTATAATCGCGATCACCTATCCCAAACCCAACCAATCGTAAACATCCTGCATATTCATAATCATGGTCACCCATCCTTTACCTGACCAATCATAAACACTGCACTTTCAGAATATCGAAAAAAAATTACACCGAAACTATAATTAATTCGTAAGATTTTTAATATTTTTTTTTTATTTTTTTTATTTTATTAAGAAAACCAACAGCGTATACATCAACAAATACCAGATTGTTATTTTACAGGTAAGTATGGCCAATTACAGGTTTCCCTTAATTTAAAAATAGTAACCTACATCGGAGATGATTAAATTATATGACAACGAATAAATTAAGTTGAGAAAATAAAAATACAATATACAAACAATGAACAAACAAGCAACTCCAAGGAGTTTTTAAATGTAGAAAGACATTATTAAAACATATACACACTCACATACCTATACATACGATACACACTCACATAATTATACATAGACAAAGATACACACACACTTTCACTCCAAAAAAACAATACCTTCACATTTCTACACTAACGCACTCACTGATCATAATCCTTTTAGTGTTTCAACAACTTCCATTTTAAATTTTTACTTGCTATTTGAAAAGACGTCGATGCTGTTAAAATATTGGTTATAAGTTTGACCCAGTCGCTGCAGCAGAACTGAGTTCTGTAGATACTCGTAGTTCGTGCGGCACGGTGGAACCTGAAAAACGGTTGTATTGCGGGTTCGGTATTTAGGAATACTATAATTTATTTTAGCTATCAGATGTGGACAATCGATTTTACTATTAACTATGTCCTGCAGTAGACCCATATCCAATACAATACGAGATGATGATGATGAATTTGATTATTGGAAGAACAGCAGCCACGTCTTTAGGTTCGTGGCCTAACGGTTTTGTTATCAAAAAACAGGCACAGCGGACTGGCTATATTGCTAACATGTTTTGATTCAAAAAATATATTTATTTTAAAAAAGTATTTTGAAAATACGTATCTTGTATCTGGTATTTCAAATACTTTTTCCAAAAGTTTCTTGTATCTGTTATCTAAATACGTTACTACCTAGTATCTTGTATTTTAGATATCTTTTTTTAATTGGCAGCTGTATGTAATTCTGATGACAATACAGTAATATGGTACTGCCGAACTGATCTGACGATATGAAATGGAACTTCATTATGGAACATCGTATCTTTGTAGGTATGTGTATTTCTCTAGACAATTTAAACCACAACTTATCTGGAGTCTTTAACGATGTGTTTCTAAATATAATCATGATAATTATTATATTTAACATGAAAGCTATTAGAAATCATGGTTTTATAATATAAATTTAAATTCAGGTTATTTCCTACGTGCTTCCGAATGTTTGTTTACGATTCTTTTGACGTCATAGCATAGATAATCTATAGACTAAAATGGCCGACAGCGTTTTTGTATGTCCATGAAAAATCTATTTTAAAATTAAAGTTTTGTAGCTTTCTAGGTAAAAAAAATACAATACATTTATTTTTCATCTAATAGAATTCGGTCTAGTAGGACAATTATTAACCATTTAAAACAAATTTCAAAAAAGTGTCAAGTAGCCTATTATTCACTGCCAAGTTGGAACACCGTACAACACATTTGTTTAATAAGTATCTATTTCTGATACCTACCAGTATAAAAATATGAAGCCGAGCTTCCAAATGTAGCCAACCTTGTAAGAGACTTCATAAATTAAAGGTATCAGTATATTTTTACTTTCTATTTATAATGAACTTTCTCAAAGGTCGTATGTATATTTATATTATCTACTTAATTTAAATGTGAAAGTTTGTTTATAATATGATAAGGATAATATGAACTTAGGTTTGTATGTTTGTTACTCAACCACGCAAAAATTACTAAACGGATTTAGATAAAATTAGATAGGCATATAGTGTTAGATATGGATTGAGACATACGATACTTTTAATCCCCGAAAGATTCTCAAAACACCAAAGTTAACGCGAATGAAGTAGCGGGCGGCCGCTAGTATTATACTATAAAAAAACGACGGGTTGCACTCCGGGAGTGCCGGCAGAAGTGAAAACTTGAATATTAACGTTGTGCATTTTTGATACTTTGGAATGGTTAGGGAATTTGGCACGAATTGCTTTAATTTATCAATATAAAAGTACTATCGTCTATGTAGTAGAATACAATATTTATTTATTGCGCTATCGTATACAAACATGACAATTTATATTACATTAAAAAGTTTATCTCTCAGAAAAATCAACTTACATGAATCACATTTAAGCGCACCTAGCGACATCTATTGTAAAAAAATGCATTTTCTTCGCAATAAAGCTGCCACCTGGACGTCCTAGAAACTTGTTATTAAAAGTAATACGATAACATAAAATATTTCTATGTTTCGTCCAATATATTGAAAGTCAACCACTTTTCCAATTTTATTGTTTTCGTCTTACGATTCTGGCCACGTGTCCTGACGCGAGTTTAACATTTTTTACTCATTACAAAAAAGTGTATCTACAACGCCGCTAAAAAAGTTTTCACTTCAATAAACAAGTCACGTCATTACAACATCACCGCTAATACAAGAGGATATTGACAGTTGCTAAGTATTTAGTTTTTTTTGTGTTAAAAGAGTGACAAATAACCGTATAGGGTAAGCGGCCACCCTGACCTCATCCCTTACCCCGTGGATTAAAATTTGATACCTACTGATTTTCGAAGGTGGGTGGCTCTTTCTAGAAGAAGGTACCACGAAACAATTGACTGATATTTCTTCAAAAGATTTTAAATATAGTTTCAAATATTCTATAATCTTTGAAAGTTTAATGAGGAAATACTTATTATATTTAATCTTTTTGCTGATTATACATCAAATAACAAGTAGGTACAATCTTAATTAGATCATCTAATTGCTCCTGTTCTATAGGCAGAAGATAATTTCATTACAAGACCACCATCCGCTTTGTTTCACACATCTGTCATATTTGCCGCGGTTTCATGCTTAATGCTTGCCTAATGTCACGTCCGCATTAATGAAATTACAATATTGCGTTGTATTACGAAATATATGAAGCAAATATTCCTTGCCTTGGAAGCAGCTTTATTTTTTTGTAATTAATTTAAATTCACTAATGATGAACTAACGCTTAAATGCACCTAAGTTCTTGAATTCAATTTTAAAGCTAATTAAGTCGTCTCCTTAGATCTAAAGAAAAGATTACTAGAATAAAAATTCCACGTGGACCATTCAGCAGACGGGACTCGCTATCCGGGCGAATGCACTGACTATTATGCTACCGCGGCCCTGACGGCCCTGTCGAATTTTTCTCTAGCCTTAGGTTGCAAGGCTAAAAACTTCTTTAGATTTAAAAATCTAACAGTTAAATGCTTAAAAATAAAAACATAAGTCTCTTTAGTTTAAACCTCATTATATCTCTTTTATTTTGCTAATTTGATTTAAGAATGTTGGTTGTATTGTATGTATTTACTGCATGGAAGCGGCACACAAAATATCTACTACATATGGTAGATACGCTCGTCGCTACACACGCGCACATTGACTGCTTTAGTACAATCTGAAATTACAGTCATGCATACATTGCGCAAACTTGAACCGTTTTCTTTGCGTGATATATTTGGATTGCTCTAATAGGCGTATAAATGGTCAAAGGTATCAAGTGTCAGAAACTATATTTAATCATCTGCGGCCTTTTGTTACAATCATCATTAATAAATTTAAGCTTATGTAGTCTACATAGGCATAAATGATAGACCTATTTACAATAATTAAGTTTATTTTCTTCTCTTTTCTCTATGTTATCTGATTATTTCCTCAAGCTGGACTTTGCCTGATCTTTTTCTTTTTATCTGTTAGTTACTTTGTATTATATTTTATAGCTTCCTTATATACTTACTTTTTTTATATTCTTATATTTACGTCTATTTAGTTATTTTAAAAATGCACTAGCCCACAGTTTCTTCTATTTTCATGGTTTGGTTTCATTCGGCCAAAGGTGGCGTGGTAGAGATTGCTACCTTAGCAATAAGGCCTCCTTTTGTGTTTGTGTTCCTTGAGTTTTATGTTTTATATATTTTGTTACATAGTGCAATAAAGAATATTCATTCATTCATTCATAAACTATATCGAGATCTATAGTTTTATGATACTCTTGTGTCCACACGAAGTACTTAACTATTTTATTTGCCCTCATAATGAATGTATGTGCTTCAGTGAGTTTTATCTTTCCGGGAAATCGACTACTCAGCTTCCCCTTTTCACCTTCTGACGTCGAAACTAATCCAATATCCTTTAGCGTTTAATAATATTGATGAGGACTACTTGTAATTATTACTATGGCTGAATGTAACCTATAGATAGACAAAAAGGACGATTATTTGCTAAAAACTTTCTTCCTAGTAATCTTTGAAAGGTCTAACTAAACTATTAACATGATCCTTCTAATACAATAAATCTGGGAGTTTGTATGTTTGTTACGCATTCACGCAAATATGGCAATCCTCGCAGGATTTGAATGAATATTAGCACACATTATCATAGTTTATTACCTGGATTGACACATAGGATACTTTTATCCCGGAAAAAGATTAAGGTTCCTATGAGATTCTTAAAAAATTGAAGATAACACGGACGAAGCTGCTGGTACCCGCTAGTGAATATATAAAACAAATGAACATTGTTACAGGTCATTCGGGAAGGATACTTTGTATGTGCGTGACTCGAGAATCTCAATATCTCCTTACCGGGTCCGAAGACACGAGCGTCATAGTTTGGGACCTCCACACACTGGCCGTCAAGACTAAAATATTGTAAGTGTGAAATGAGAAAAAATAGTTTCCGCTGAATTGAGCAAAGAGTCATCAGTCCACAGACCACAGACACTAATTAATGTCACAGTAATAAAAATAGATAAACTATTTTACACATGCGTCATATAGAGATATAGGGATGATTGATGTTGTTGAGCTTTAAAATATTGCATTTTTGACATTAGTATTTCATATACAACCTTAAATGAGTGTAAACAAAAATTAAGTTACAATCTCAATCTTTAAACATTACTAAAACAATAAAAAAAGAGTAATTCATTTTTTAAAAAACACTTTGTTTTTCAACTTTATCGTAAACAAATAAATATATCAATGTGATATAGAATGTTCTAAGAAAAGCTAATTAGCTATAAGCCGTGCAAGCGGCGCAGCCTCGTCCATTATTTACCTTGAAGTACTGTAAGCTGTTTTGTTTATGAACTTGAGTTTTCAATCGTAGGTGGTATAGAATTACAAGAGCAACTCTTATTCATTCTTCGCACAAAGTAATATTTGATCCATTCTAAAATAGCGTTCATTCAAAGTGAACAATACAATATCGTTTAAAGTGGTTCGAAAAAACAAGTTCATTTTAGATCTCAACAAAATGGTTAGCGTATTCAACAAAGTAGTTAAGGACGATGGTTCGATTCCTGTCTGTTACCTAGACCGAGTGAATTTGTTTTAAACGGTAAAATTTTGACGTTAAATTATTATATAAAATTTTAATGAATCAGTCATTTAAAGATATTATTATTTAAATCCATAGGGAGCACATAGCACCTGTACTATGTGTGGCAGCTATAGTGAATCGTTCATTGGTAATCAGTGGAGGGGAAGACTCAGCTGTCATAGTTACATCCCTAGTCGATGGAGCATTGGTAAGTAAACACCTGAATTTAATAACATTATAAAATATTATGATGGTTTTAAAAGAGACAAGTTATAATAATTTTAAGTGTTCGTGTGTAGAAAAAACCTCAACCTCATCCCAACATATATACCCAAATTAAATAACACTACTTATTTATATTTGTTTCTTAGGTTTTCACGCACATCACTCATTAAATAAAACTAGTTTTTACGGGTTAATGCACGAAACTTTATTTATTTATTGACGTTTCGTAGTCTTTACAGGCTACGTCGTCGGAATCAAACTTTTATTTAATTTGTCGAGCTACCTTCGAAAGACTTATATTGACTACTTATTTTTACTGTTTTGTACGGGTCAGTCTGGGGTGTTAGATATTTAGTTCAGGCTTCGTGGGCGGTAACGACTGCAGATGCAGTCGAAACTAACGACTTATGGTCCGTACTCATATACGGTGTAACTCGATACTTATACTCTAAAGCCAGTAAAAATTAACGTGTGGATCGCAAAACTCACACTCGTAGGCTCACCGCGAGCCGGCTTTATGAAATTAAATAAATGTAATTTCCTTCGCGCCTACTCGAAGAGGGTCGTTTAGCTTGACTCGAGCGTGTTTACGTATCCGCCAGTCGAGCGTCAGTCCACCCCATAGACGTATTTTAAAAATAGTACCTCCATTTACATTTCCCCTTTTATTTTCTTTAATTCTTTTATAATTAAGAATTGCGAGACTTGCTAAATGCAGCCACTGTCTCATTAGTTGAACTAATATATCATTCGGCTCGAACAGTTCGATGAATAATGAACACCGCGCGCCACTCGACAGATGAATGCTGAATGTGTGGACAAAAGCCCGTGGCGCAGTTTTTACTCGTCGTGGTTGCTCGATCGAGTAAAACCGTATAAATACGGACCATTATCTTTCCTTCAAAAGCGAGAGATAATAAATTTAAGATCACATACGTATCCTATGACCAGCCATTACGAATGCTGCTTTACTATACACTATCACTGCGCCATTAGTTTGATTTCCTGATGATGACTTCAATTTGTTTTACATTTTTAGCCAGAATAGAAACATCGGGACAATTCATTTACAGCTTCTGTCGATTTATTAGAAATTCAATATATAATAAAAAAATACGTGTGGCACTAGGGGACTGCCGCGGTAAAGCTATTGCATAGAATTTTTTATCAACTTATGCAATATAATTACTATTTATTTATGCAGTTTTTTTTCTTTGATATTAATTCATATAACACTTTTTGAGCATGGTGACCGATAAGAAAACATTTATTTTTTATTTTATTGAATAAATGAAAAGTTGATATTGTTTAAAACATTTTTATAATCTTACATGCGAGCTTCGTACAGTCGTACCATATACATGCACGTTAAGGTTCAACTAGTCGCGGGCTCGCACTCACTCGTGGATGCGGCCAAAAAGCACGCTGTCTCACCTAGCATTCATTGTGTCTAAAAGAGATAAAATCAGTTATGAGCAGTTAACAGCTAGTCTACACGCATACGTCTAGTCACACGCACACAAACACCGTGCCGAAGTCTACCGAACTGAAACGACGTTAGACGATGCACAGCTTTCTACGCCGCACCGCTGTGCCGGTCGGAGTGGGGGGTATTAAAATAAAAAAAGGAAAAGAAAGAAAGAAAGTTTTTTTTTAAATAAATATTCTAAATATGCTGGCAAGGCCTGCATGGAGTTATATAAGCTGGCGGTTGGCGCGCGTGAGGCGCTCGTTGATGTACCCGAGCGCCGCCCCCACGGCGGTGGCCGGCGGGCCGCCCTCATCAGCGGTGTCCGGGGCGCCGTCCTCCGAATCCGTGACCCTCCGCAACGACCCTGCGGCGCACACGCGCGGCCGTGAAGAGGTAGTCGCGCAGCTGGCGGCACGCCAGGCGCAACACCACGCGGCGCGCTTAAACGCTCCGCGAACACCAAGTCCCGCCTGTCGAGAGTCACTCCCAGCCGCACGGCCAGCATGGTGCTCTCTTTAACCTCGGCGCGCAGTTCGAATATGGTGCGCTCCAAGTCCATCCTACCAGTTGCATCAGGATCCACTTGACGCTGCTCCAACACCGCAATTCTGCACTCGAAGGAGTCAAGTCGAGCGGTAAAAGCTGCCTAAAACTATGGAAAGCCGCCATCTCCGAGCGGAATTCCCTCCTCTCCTTCATGCAGTCGGCCAGCATACTTTTTATATCACTGGTGTGATTATTTCCGGCTGCGATCTCCTTGGTCTTACCCTGGACCTCATCTTCCTTTGGAGAGCCACCGGGCAGGTCGACAGGTTCCCGTGCAGCAACCGGTTTTTCGGGCTCGGAAGATTCGCTGATACCCTTTACAGGCGTATCCGTGTTGTCACCCCTGCGTGTGCTCTTCTTACAGTTCGGGCATATCCAGTCCTTATTATATTTTATTGCAAGCACAGCAAACAACAGCATTGCCCGGCGCCAAAAAACTTCCACAAGCTCCACAGTTTTCTATCTTTAGTCTAAATTATAAAGACTAAATAAAAGGGAGACAAATAAAAATAAGAACAGGTGCTAGGGTCTCAAAAAAATATATAAAAAAAGGACAAAAAAAATACGTGTGAGGGATTTGAACCGACGACCGCGGTGATGCGTCGAACGTTGGTACCGTGGCAAAGATTTAATATACTGCGCCGTTAATATTTATACTGGAATGGCGAAAATTGTGTTCTATTGGTATATGCACTCTCGAAAGGTTTTTTCATTACGGATTTTTTTGATTCGGTCCCCGCGCTCGAAGCCCGCGATAAAAGCTATACAATAGCTTAATTAATTAATAAGTTTCTATCGATTTGCTTTTCCACTAATCTAAAACCAAAAATCGATACAATTAATATAACGGATATAAAGTTCATAAGACGCGTTTTAGTAAATTAATTTTATCACTAACGTACATATTATGATGTAATCTTCTTGGAAGCATATCATTAATAATATAATACCATTCGAGCCACACCTATTATTGTAAATTGAATGTGAATCAGTATCATGTTATTAATTCGTTAATTAGATTTCAACCAACAGATGTTCAATGTACATAATTCATTATACAAAATAGTTGATGTTAACATTACTTGTTGGATTTTATAATAATGAAATGAGTTAAATAATCTAGATTATTATAGCCTGAAAAAAATTACTAAATAAATTTTCATATTTTTAAATTAAATAGATAAACGAGAAATTTTTAGGGTAATATAGTTTTGTATTACAATAATTCCGGACAACTGACAATGTTTTTTAGTTAGGCACATACTAAGCAGAACTTGTAGTACGACAGATAAATAGATTAACAAATATTTATAACACCAACATAATATACATAATTACATAACATTAATAAACAATAAACTTAACGAAAGCATTATGATTGACGGTCTTATCGCTAAGAGTGATTTCTTCCAAGCAACCGTGAGTATGAAAAATTATACAGAGACTGTAGGTTGGAGTGTTATATGGCTTGGAATAAATAGTCGCATCTGTACATACAACTTTACATCAAACCTATGTACTCTCATTCAAAAATACATTTAATAACATATATACATACACACATATACATACACACACATACATACACACACAAACATACATATACATAACCTATATATGATAAACATTTTACACAGTAAAATCAGATTCACTGCGAGAGATAAAAGTTTTTGAGCTGGTCTTTGACTATATTCAAAGACTGAGCGCGTCTGGTATTAGTAGGTAACGAGTTCCAAAGCCGAACAGCTTGTACAGCAAAGGAATCGTCATTATAGCTGGTGCGGTGAACTGGCATTGTGAGGGTCAGATTTTCTGATGACTTAAGGGAAAGCGATAGGGAATTTTGTTGAAACTTAAAAAGTTCTTTAAGATATTATGGTTACCGGACCATTTCCTTTTTCTTACCTTCTTCTTACCTACCAGCATTTTCCTTTTTTTAAACGAAATTAAACATCCTAAATGCATTTTCATTGACAAGCTTTTGCTGTTACCAAATTGCCCTATAGAAAACTTACGGTTTTACCTTTCATTTTCATTACTTAGATCGTTAAATTGAGCTTTCTGTTCGGACCCATTACACCGACCTCGTTAAAAGCGCAGCCTGTTTGCATTCCATTAGAGCAATTCCATAAAACGGAACGAGCGTTCGATGCAGAGAACTGTTTAATTAAAAACTACAACATGACATCAAACACTAACGAGAAAATCCCGTGTTGTTATTGAAAAAATACCTGCTCTTTTTACTTGGCGCCAATGAAATATTTTTCAATACAACCCATTCATAGTGACTTGTTCCGTAATTTTATTCGTGGTAAAACTTTATATTGAAATAGGGTATTTGACAGTATTAAAAATAAAGTGCCAATTGTTAGCATCTGTGTTTAGAATGAATATTGGCAGGAATTTTCGCTGTTTTTACAGAAAAAATATTCATAATTTTACTAAAAAACCACGAAAAAGATATAACAGTTTTCTTATATATTGTGACCCAAAACGCTTGGGATTGGCGGAGCCTTAAATGACGTCACACGCAAGTAAACTTTCGGTTCAAGTGACATTACATTGTATCGTTTTACGTTTTATTATAATAACAGTCGTGTGACGTCGCACACCAGTGAGACGCCATATTGTCCAGAGAAACTTGAAAATGGAGTTTTTAATGTTTTTACTGAAATACACAACAGAATGATGAATATCCTTTTTACGGACTCCATAAACATTTGTCAATAACGTGAGATCGTTTTCTATAACTTATCAAATACCTTATTATAGTAAGGGTATCTGTAAGTCTAATTTAAATTTATTTACGCGTACACCACCATATTTTTTTTTTGTTTAATTAGAAATAACAAAATAAAGTATAAAAACAAAATTTACTCATAATCGTAGGTCATAAGCCGAATGAGTTGTGTCCATCTACGACAATCGTGCAACAGGATTACATTCACAAATTCATATCTTTAGTTATATATTTTTTTCCCGAATAGCAACAACATTTAAGTGATTCGATCATTAAAACTGCCAAAGGGCAACGTAACAAATAAACAAGCTCATTGTTCTTCTTAATTAATCATGGGCGAAGGGTTTGCATCGAGAGTGCCTTCAAAGATAAAACTGACAACTTTGATCCGTCAGTTGCGTCCCCTTGATTTAATAATTTTGTTGATTATTATACGTTAACCTTTTATAAGATGGATCACGCCCCCCTCCAGTTGACGTGAATCTTTGTAACTTCCAACATTAAAATTAATCCAGATATCTGAATGAGAATCAGGTCAGAGCTGATTTATGATTTATTGAACCGGTAACAATTACATTTATTAAATTCTGCTTCGCACTTTCAACATTCCGTCCTTCATTCAAAATTGTCTTTAGTATATTGTTGTTGAGATTTCAAATCAATGATATTTATATGTAACTAGCTGACCCAGCGTACTTCGTACTGCTTACAATAATTTGGAAGAAACGATAAAAGACGAACGTCGAATGGTTCACAGGAATATAGAGTTTATATGAAATAATGAAATTGTAATTTTTTACTATCTTCCTCGCAATTTTTCCATAATTTTCTCACCATTTAAACCTTCCCTAGACCTCCACGAACATTTCAAGACTAAGATAAGATAAATCCGTTCACCCGTTCTCGAGTTTTAGCGAGACTAACGAACAGCAATTGATTTATATATATATACTAGCTGACCCAGCGAACTTCGTACCGCCATAAAAAAAAAAAATTAAAAAAACATTGTCCAGCGGACAAAATTGTGAATCTAAACCATTCTCAGATCTCCTTGAACACACACAAAAAATTTCATCAAAATCGGTCCAGTCGTTTAAGAGAAGTTCAGTGACATACACACTCACAGAATAATTATATATATAAAGATATATATATGTTATATTATTTATAAATTTATCTTAACATTCCGAATTTATTGCTGATTTACTTTAAATGTACATAGTAAATTATTAAGTCTTTTATTTTTATTGACGGAACGAATTTGAGAAATGTTACTTAAAAGATTGCCTTAAAATTGATTTTGCAATATTAAAGCATAATTTAAAATGATGATAGGCCCGATCCATCCATCTTGAGTAATGAGTGTTTTTTACAGTATAAATTTCAGTGGATGAATTTTTTCGACCTTTATTCTCGAAAATAAAATATCCTGAGCGGGTGGGTGGCAGAGAGAAAAAAATGTTAAAATTATGCTTCCAATTTTAATAAAGAACTTCTTACCCTTGGTAAAACATCAGTTCATGTAATCATTCATAATTACATGAAGTCGATAATTCACACTAAATGTGTGAATTATTTTTTTCTAAAACTCGTGATGAAAGCATATCCAACTTTTTTGTAGTAATAAGGTAGATTTTTATTAATTCAATTCATTTGCATTCCAAAATGTTGTAATATATTATATAGGTATTACCTATATTTATAAATTTAATTATAACATCAGGTGACAAAAATCGACCACCATAGAGGTCCAGTGACTGCGGTGAAGGTAATACAAGATGGCGACATCCTAGTCACCGGGTCCCAAGACGGAACTGTTTGCACATGGAATGTGGATAACTTCACACTACTGAGCACCGTAACGGCTGGTGTACCAATACATGCGATGGATATCACTGATGACAACGTATTCCTGATCACACTTCAGGGCGAAAACGAACTGCATCTGAGGACCTTCATCACTGGAACCTATTTGCATATGCTGAAGCGGCATAAAGCTAAGGTCAGTGTATTTTTTTTCATGAAATATTGTATATTGTTTTAAACTTTCATGGTCACTAACATTATAGTAATTTATCTAATTTATGGGATTGCTACCATGTACCTTGTTTTTAGCGAGTTTCCGATATTTCGCCACTGTTGCAAGCGCCATGATCACGGAGTAACTGATTGTAACTATAAATAATATATCTTATATATGAAAGCTATGTCATAAAATGTATGCCGGAATGTTCTGAGGAACATAATTTTATGAGCAGGTACTCAGACAACTTGAACCATTACTTCGATCGTAACAAGACACATAAACCAGCATTTGAAACATGCAACGATGTTGCCCGCTATTTCGATCTGTACAGCATTTTTTTTTACTTTCACTAACATATGAATCATGAAATTGTTTCTTATTATAGTTCCAATGAATAATTTTGATCCTGACGCAATAGAAAACTCTATCACTGTCTTTTTAGAATTATAATAAAAATAAACTTGCGAAAATGCACTCGCAGTACTCTGCAGGGTATAATAACTCTGGAGATGCCAATATTATCACTGGCACAATAAATCTCGGTAAGGTCCGATGTTTGATTTGTTATAAAAGTTCTTTTTTGGACCGATAAAGTTATTCTGTGATCCCCTGACGTAAACGAAGTTCTCTCTTTACAATACCAGCATTACAACTTAAGGCCGAAACTTGTTGGGATCATGTGCAAAGAGAAGTTTTCGCAATCTCATTACTAGTGGCTCTGTAAAAGGTCACAGTTATCGCTTAGTTCCCGGCAAATGGTATAAGAAAAGTTCATCTCAGTGGGCACTTACCAGCAATCGGTGGTAATTTATTTCCTCTACCAGTAGTAAGTAGGAGTTAAAGCAATTTGTTGATCCCTATCACACCATTGATGGGTCGAGACGTTACGGCCTTTCAGTAACCTTTCAAATAACGCTCTATCCTTGAAATTGCTTTTCGACGAAAATCCTCACAAACATCTGCAATATTTCTGTGTTGTGTTTCGTACGAAATATAAGCACATAGGAAATGTTATTATGCAACCAATGCCGGAAATTCTTGAGATTACTTAATACATCTAAAGATATTCCAAGTGAATAACCAGAGACCATTTAAGAGTGAAGTTTATTTCCATTACTCTAATGGCACCGTAGTTTTTTGTTCAGAAAAAAAAACAGTAACTCTCAACTTTGCCTACATTTGCATTGTCTGAATAACGACAGTGAAGTAATTAATACAGATGGGGACGTTTAATTAGACAATTAATGGTTATTTATTATGCATATCAGGCAATAAGGATTCGGTATTATGAAACCATAGTAAACTATTTACTCTATTGTTTTAAGCAATAGTTAACTACTTACATTGTGTACTGTAGTGACGTTCATCATTTAGAATGCCTTTATTAAAATTTCTAGTTGAGTACAACAAATAAGTCGTTTCCATGCGACGCTTTTAATAGGATTGTGAGTGTAAATTTGGAGACTATTCAAATTCATACCCATCTGTTTTGTCATGAATTGTAAATAGGCACTTGAGAAAGTGCAGACACAAGTTCGAGATAATAAATTTGCGGTCCGCTCATCCAGTGAATTCGTAGAAACGCTACGAAACTGCTAATGCCCTAACCGCTAAGAGTTATTCTACCCTTCGTGTAAATAAGTACTATGCTTTGTGTTGGTGTAGATAAAATGCTTCTGCGTCGCACATGATTCATCTCGAGCTGCTGTCGGTTGTGCCGATCAGCGTATCTACGTATACAGCCTACATAGTGGGCAACTCCTACGAACACTTGCTGCGGCTCACGACCTTGCCTCTTTAGCTATTGCTGATAAAGACCATTTCCTATTAGCAGCCGGTAAGTTAAAACTTGAATCCTACAATATAATGGTTTAGTATACATTTTCCTGACCATAAATTTTAGTAAACAGACATTATACACATACCAAAGAAGTCTAAGAAACATGCATTATTTACGCAAACTGCAAGTTTTATCAGTTGATATTTTATTATTATTGTTATGAAATGTATACTAATTTATTCAGTGAAATTGATTATTATTACCAAAATAATATAACTATGTATTAAAATATTAAACATCTGTCAAAAGATGAGTACATTATTGCTCATGCAATGGATATATTGATAGTTGAAACATTCTTATAGGCGGCAACAGGGTAACTATCTATTCATTCCACACGGAAGACAACTTAACCAACTTCAGGCCAACGAAACAACTGAAGAGACGACAAACGAAATCCACAACGAATATTACTTTGCTGCAGGTGAGCACAATAGGTGTTTCATTTATACTTTTTGTTTTAAACCAGGATGCTTAAAAAGAATCGAAGTCTTTTGAGATCAATTGTTTTTTTACTTAAATCAGTTCAAATTAAATATTAAAAATTAATATTTCTATATTTATATAAACATTCAAATTGGTTAAATTCGTAGAATTAATTTAAACCACCAACCAGTTTTTCCAATGCATGTATTTTCAATGCCATCCTAAATTTTGGTAATTTTACAAACTTATATTCAGTGATAATGATATACAGAGCATCAAAGCAAAAAAGATATTCACCAGTAATTTTTTTTTTTTATTCTTAAGTATAAAATTCCGGAGATGCTGACATTTTACCTATTCCTTTATAAATGGATAACCGAATGATGTGCAGTATTTATCTACAGGCTGAACAAAGCGAACTGATACCAATCAGCTGCTTGGAAGTTTCACGGGATGGACAGCTAGCGGTGAGCGGATGTGCCCGCGGTCTCGTCAGAGTGTGGCAGCTTTCGACACACCGACTCCAAACCACTCTCAATGGGCACATAGGTCATATCACTTGCGTCACGTTCTCCCCAAACAACCTACTAGTTCTCAGTGGTTCAGAAGACAGAACAGTAGTTGTTTGGCAATTGGCTGACAATTCGCCGTCCTTGACATACAAGGTTGGGAATATTCATGTAATTTGCATGATTTGTACATTTTTAAGATCAATCAACTTAAAATAATAGTTCGTCAAACAGTCTTTGGACATCATTATCACTGTTGATCTTTAAACGGTGTTTGTATAGGAGTTTTTTCAAATTGGCATCATATTACTCTTGATTAATACAATAGTTTTTGATTTTAAGGACTGTGTCTAATTAATGCCTATTACTTCAATTGGATTCCAAACATTTTGACACGCTCTATGACATATTCGAACGTTGTTATTACATGTAGTATGTTTATTTAGACGACATTCTCATCTCATTTACGTAGGGTCATTCAGCCGCATTGCAGTCGTTGCTAATGATGTCGGATGGACGTCGAGCAATGTCTAGCGACAGGGCGCGAAATGTGCACGTGTGGTTGGTCGATTCGGGAATCGTGTTACATTCCACCACCGGTCCGTCAGCGAGCTTGAACGTGACATTGAATATGAAGTATGCTGTAAGTATTATAGGTATACGCGTGCACAAGTCATTCGACGTTAGAACTAATGGAGTAAGTTTTTGGAACTAGATTCCTTTTCGGACAGTACGGACTTGGCGGATGAGGGCTAAGCGAAAAGAAAGTGCATGATTATTCCGTTACAACCGTCAGCTGTTTCATAGTGTGTAGTTATATACTTATACTTACTTAATGTATTCATTTTTAACATCATTACAACCGAGTGTTTCACGACACAAACATATTGTATAAATACACCTTTTGTCTCTTTGTAATATTTATTAGTAAAACGAATAAATGATAGATAGTAGGTTTTTATTATTTTAGACCTTTTTATTATTATTTAGCATACTTTTCTTCTCAGCTTCTCCTTTGTTCTTCTCTCTTAAGTTAGTGTCATTGAAATTTGAAATAAATTACCTACTTTCATTTCAATGTTGAATCTAATTTTATTCTGTTATTTAATTTTTGTTACTGCGAGTGAATTTGATCCTTACCTACTTATACTGCGCAAGCTGTTTAGAATTAGCTTCCTTGCAACAGATCACAAAGCAATGTGAGTCTATGACAGAAATTTCCCGATTTCTTAGGTTTTATCCGATGGTGACAACTCGGTTCGTATTTGGGCCCTCGCTGGTGGCGACAGCGGCGAGGAGAGGCGGTCCGTGTCACACGCGGAGCGGGTCACCTGTTTCGCGCTCACGGCCGACTCGCAACATGTCGTGACGGGCTCCATGGACATGTCGCTTAAAGTTTGGAAACTCGACGGCGGCAAACTGTCCCAGGTGCGGAACCGTCTAAAACTTCCTTAGGCTAGTCATCAAACTACCGATATTATGCAGTTTCAGCATACTAAGGCCCGTATTATAGAAATATTCTCAGTGATTGATCTAGTCTTAAGCATAGTTTTCTAACTACCCTTCCCTTTCTAGGGATGTCGCTATATATAGCACATAGCAACGTCCCTTTCTAACAGTACTCAAGTAATGATGAACACTTAGTTGTCATTCTGTAATACGAGTACGAGCCTAAACTATAGTATCAAACAAACAATCGTACAGGATTCGGAAGTGATTTTTTATTTAAAAAGAAATACGTAAACTTTTTTTTCAAAATTTTCAGTAAAGCTATTTGTTGCTTTTTAAACATGAAAGCACACAAAAAATGTGTAATGATTTCAGAATGCATGTTAAATGTGTTCTTTTTATAGAATGTATGAAAGAAATATGAAAAAAAAAAACAGCTTTTCTCCTATTTAATATGAACCTATTGAAGGCCTCGGAGAGCACATTTCCTTGTTATATATAAACGTACTTTTAATTCATTTAAGACAACATCTTTTATATTTAACTTTTTTATCTGCAATCTGACAGCACTGCTTGTCCGAAATCCAATTTAATCATATCACTATTTATAGAACTTAATCCTGTTACTATTTTAAAAAATTTAGAATAGCAATCGAGCTTATAATATTTAATATAAACAAACCGTCCCTTCAGTTCAGAGTAATCTTATCAAGAATATTAAAGTTCTCTGTTAAGACTAGTCAAAGTATTACAAAGGAAATTCAAAGTCTTCAGTGCCTAAATTAAGGTTTCTCAGTTTTTTACAACATTAAAGGCAATATTGCTTCTACTTTTATTCTAATATTGTAGTCATCAAGGCGACACTATAATAGTGTTATAGAATGATTCTATGACCCTGTATTTTTTCCTTATGGTGCTTAAACATAAGTAATTGAGAATAAAGGATAAACTTATTTTCTAGCAGCAAAGATATCAAGTTTTCTCCTTTCGCAGGTTTTAGTCGGTCATTCGGACATAGTGACTTGTGTGGCGGTTTCTATAACGAACAAAACTCAAGTAGTGTCAGGTTCTTGGGATTGCAACCTCATTGTTTGGGACATCAACACTGGCTCCGATCTCCATTTGCTGTCGGGTCATCTGGGCAAAGTCACTTGCGTCAAAGTCACGGGAGACGGGACTATCGCCGTTTCTGGTAAGCATTAAATTTAATGAAGGTTATTTAGATTTGTGTAACGTTTTAGTAGATTAATAAGGTTTTCAGAATTCCACAGAGTAAGGTTTAATATGGTAGATAACACACGAGTGGTGGCATTGCAATCTTCTAAAGGCTATGGTATCCATTTACCATCAGGTCGGCCCAATAATTGTATGCCAGTTATTTTGAAAAAATATTAATTAAATGTTATTATCTATAATTATACATAATATCAACTTCATCCGCTGTGGGTTTAGTAAAGCATCACACAAACATCACTGTGAAGTAGTGAAATATAAATGTTTAGTTTTAAACATTCAATGTCATCAGTTCTTTTGTTCACTGGCGCCATACTTGCCAATGATAACTTATAAAGTGTCGTAGAAGTTATGAATACAAATATTTTAAGAAATGCTTTACTATGTAGAACGAGATTTCCTATGAGTAAAACGGCTTACAACTAAATATGTAGTCGAATACCGATATTAACTTAGAAACTATAATATCACCTTACCTTAGTTATCCTTGCCAAAATAATGCTTAATTTGTTTTCCGAAGAGGGTTTGTCATGTCCGCTCAGAATAATTAGCAAATTTGCGTTAATTACTATCCATTGTGGATACGCTCCGCCCGCAGTGTAAAAGAGACATCAAAATTTAATTTACCAGTCAAGTTAGCTAGATAAAATTAAATTGTCCACCAGGTGCGGAAGATAAAACCCTCATAATCTGGGAGACGAAACGAGGGCTAGCCCTAACTTCGTTGGCTTTGCACGTGCCTTTACTGGGCTTCCAGATTACCAGCGATTGCTCCAGGATAGTTGTGCATCTTCTAGACAGGGGTAAGTCGTCTATAATTCATTCTATTTAATGTTTGCTTCTGATGGTAGTGATGACAAAAACAATCGCATTGTATGAATTCTACTAGAGTCTGTGCGGAAAGAGAATGGGGTTTAGATTGGAGGGCGCTGTAGTGCATTTCTACCGTATTTGTAAGGTTTTACCCCTTTTAGACATGATTAAATACAAAAAACCGCAAGAAATCACAACAACAAACAAATCCGTATCAATATAAAACTTTGACGTTTTACAGATTGCTGAGTTTGATTGCCAAATAAAAATCTTATTGTTAGTTCCGTTTTTCGCCACGCCCATTCTCTTCCCGCACAGACTCTATTCATCTCTTTCACAAGTTTCACATAGGTGTTTCTTGAAGATTATAATAAGTTTTGTGAATAAACTCGGTTGCTTGTTATATTATTTATTATTTTTTAAGCGTGTAACTGCTGCAAAAGTTCCAAAAGACCAGGCAACAGACGAATTCGAGTCCCGTCTGCTGCCTGCCCGCGTGGATTTTTTTCTAGTAATACTTTCTTTAGATTTAAACATCGAGCAGTTACATGCTTAAAAAACAAAAAAGCTATAACTGTAATTGCTATTTCTTCTTTGAAATGTTTTTTACTTATAAAGGTATTCATTTGACATTGTGGGTTACCTACAATGCGAAGAGATGGCGTTGCCTTGAAACTTAAAAAAGGCTAGAAAGATTTCGACACGGCCATCAGGGCCGCGGTAGCATAATGATCAGTGCATTCGCCCGGATAGCGAAGAGTGCTGGTTCGAGTCCCGTCTGCTGCCTGGTCCGCGTGGATTTTTTTCTAGTAATATTTTCTTACGGTTCATTGTTTTTTTTTTGTGAACAGGATGTCTACCTATTATATGTCTACATAACACGCCTGCTACTTATGTGAAAATACCAACTTATGCAGCACCAACTAAAGATGTAGATGGTAAGTCAAACAATAATAAAGAAGAAATTGAAAGCAGTTCCAAATTCAACTGAGATGATATTTGATTTTTATTAATATTCTCGTTTAGAATTGAGGCCGTTAGCTCCAAAGAGGCCGATGAGGCGGCTTCTGAAGAAGGAGGTTTCCTTAGACACTTACACTTGGCAGAAGAAATATGGTCATCTTACTTCGGCGGCTATGATGGCACAAGTAGACGAACGACTCAAACGACGGTAAGTTCAGATAATGAAAATGTATTGAGTAATTTGAGTTTGGCCACTTTGTTACGATTTGTTTAGCCAAAGACCGTGTCAAAGTGCTTCTTTAGAGATGTTTTTAAACTTTTTTTCAAGTATGATTGAAATTAGTGCCTTCACAATATGCATCACGCGACTTTTTCATTCCAGTCTCTGAGTGCGGCCGTAAATTTTTGATGAATTTGAAATTCTTATGTTTACTATGAACTGTTAAGGTGGAGAGTTTGATTTAGAGATTAAAAATTATTCTCTTTCAGATTTTCGGTATCAGCATCCATGGAAGAAATCTCTAAAATCCAAGAAGCTAAAAATAAAGACTTGGGCTCCCAGGTATGTTGGCGAGATTATTGATATTAAACACAGATACATTACAAGTTCAACAAGTGAAATTAAAAAGAACATATAGGGTAACGAAGTTCCTCTCATTCTGAATAAACGATTTCGTATCAAAACTCAGTACATAGACAGATGACCGTTGAAACGATACAATATTTTCGTTCGCTATTTTCGCCAACAACTAACAAAGAGCAATTTTTAAAGAAAATATATTATGATTCTCAGTTTTCGCACGCACGACTATTCGGATTAAGATGAAATTTAGTACACATACAGTTTATTACCTGGATTGAGACAAGGAATACTTTTCATTCTGGAAAATGTTAGGTTCCCGTGGACTTCCCAAAAAACTAAAGTTAAAGCGAACAGAATTCGAAAAGCCATGAAACAAAAAATATCCCAACATTACTTTTATGATGTTTATGTTTTTGTAAAGGTGAGCTTAGGCCCTGAAGAGGCAGCCATAGCGCAGTCACAGCACTTCGATCAACTAGAAGCCTTATGGAACAAGATATCTCCCCCGAGGCGCCGCTCCAACAAGGTAAACCAATAAAAAATCCTTTACTGCTAAAGGTGATATCATTTTACAACAAATAAAAAATGCACTTTGTCTGAACTGAATTTCATCACGCTCTCGACAGGTTTCAGATATAGGAAGGTATTATTGAATTTGAGACTAATATTAGCAATCCTTATTCCATAATGTTGTATCTATTATTTTATTCAGCAACAGACTAGTTTAGTTATGTGATGTTTTGTTAAAAGTTCATTTATGGATTACTTTGTACAAGTACGGTTTTTTTTCTAAATGGCTTCACATGGCTTGTTCATTTTGCCAATGTCAAGTGTTAAAATGTTTACAAATTCTATAGCACTCGTGGTCAAAGTAATAAATCAAGTCAAAGTAAGTGGCAGTCAAGTCAAACCCCCTTTCCCTATGTTTCAGTAAATATGTAAGGATTTACTGGAACCTCCCCGTGGACTTCTTGAGGGAACGTCGAAAGACACTTTCCGCTATTTTGTTTCACTTGCCAACACTTGTGCATGTTCCCGAACACTTAGTGGTTAATAATCCACCATCATTAGACACTAACATCTGCCACAACACAATTTTTAACAAGAAAAACAAAACTGCTAAAGTGACGTTTCCCGATCTTAGATGAAAACAAAAAGGGAAGATACGGCATTCGCGGCTCAAAATTGATCCGCTTAAATTGTGGTCCACAACCATATTTCGCTTTCACACAATTTGACATTCAAACACGCTGCATGTACACTCAATATAAAAATGTTGCGGATATTCTGTGTTAAGAAGATATAACAAAGCCTTCGATGCTTATATAAAGAACACAAATAGTTCAAAATCAAATGCCCCGGCAACACTTTTCATTCGTAAAACTGTGAAAACATTTTTTTCTCAAAAATCACGGGTTTGTTGTGAATATTATTTACGTAATCGCCATTTTGTAAGCAATAAAAGGACAACAATACGCTGCGTTGAAGCGTATAGTTCTATTTCGCTCGCTCGATTGATGTTTATATACAGATGTGTGCGTGGCGAGAGTTCCTTATGTAGTTGAGTCGGATTATATTTTATTTGATGCTAGTATGAGCGTACCGTATCTTCCCTTTTTGTTTTAATCTAAGTTCCCGATCCTACCAAAAAGTCCAAGTACGGGAATATGAATGCTTTAACACAGAATGTATATAAGAAATAGAGCGCAAAATATTTGTTTAAAGCTTATTTTAATTTGATACATACTCGCAACCCTTCTCACTGTTTCTTTCGATGTACATATTGTTCAATGAATATTAAATTTCATATATGCTTAGTTGAAGTTTTGACAAGTGCGTGAGAAGATTAATGTCTATCAAATTTACAAACTTATTTTCAGACAGATTTTCTACGCCAGCTATTTGCCATCACTTTTGATAACACGTATGTGAATGTAACGCTGATCGGTTAATGTGAATTCTCACGAAATAACTTTACTCTGATGAATTATTTTTACTGTTTTAAAACAGCATTTAACTTACAAGTTCAAATAAGGAATGAGATTTTTATATCCTATTTTGAAGGGAACCGTCTAGTTTCCCAGATGGTTATGTCACAGTAATTTGCCAAAAAAAACCTAAATGCAATATTCTTTATACTTATGATTAATGAAGGGAATTTGGTACATCCGACAATTCCTATTAACTAACTGTTAAAAAAATATTCCTAATCTTCCTGGGAATATTTAATTTCTCATTCATAACATTAAATTTGCGGAAGAAACTGGAAACTGAGAATATTCCCAGTAAGTTACCTTATAACCATTGACCCTGCCAAAAGACCCCTTGAATTATTTACATTTGTTTAAGCTTATTAATTAGGGCTTAAATCTTAATTAACTTTACTTTATTGTTACAGTCGTTATCAAAACAAAGCTCTTTAATTGAAAGATTTGACTCTTCGGACGAAGAGCACACGCCTGTCGAAGAACAAGGTAAGAATAAACCATTTTTTTGATATTTTACCAAGAAAATATAGTACTTGCATATCATTATTTTATTGATGAGACTCTTGAATTCATGTAATCGAAACTTTTATTTATTTGCTAGCTTTCTTAAATATTTTCTTCTCATTTAAAACTAAAACAGTAGGTATTTTTCAAAACTCCACTAAACAAACTTTTAATTTGAAAACTTTTGTCTAGCGCTGAAATGAAAACAAATTTTGTCACAAAGACGTCATCTCTTCTAAAAAGTACTCGTAACTTAGGCATCTTTTGTTCTAGTCACAACACTTTTAATTAACGCGCTGGTTTTAACAAAATCAAACATTTTTATGATTTATATTCGGATTCAGAAGACGTCACGCACGTCTCTCCCTAAACCACAAAACATTGAAAAAAGTTATAGAAAGCGCTGTGCTTAAATTGCGAACATGTGATTCAAATTATTAAAGTACCTACTCGTTATTTTCATGTTATTCACGCATGTGAACTATTTCATTTGATTGGATTTGGTTAACTCAGAATTGTCGCTGTGTAACTTAATAAAAGTTTAAATCTAAAGAAAAGTTTACTAGAAAAAAAAAATCCACGCGGACCAGGCAGCGGACGGGACTCGAACCCGCATCCTTCGCTATCCGGGCGAATGCACTGACCATTATGCTACCACGGCCCTATTAGCCGCGTCGAAATTTTCCTAGCCTTAAGCTGCAAGGCAGCGCCATCTCTTCGCATTGTAGGTAACCCACAATGTCAAATGAATACTTTTTCAAGTATTAAACATTTGAAAGAAGAAATAGCAATTACAGTTATGATTTTATTTAATTTTAAGCATTTAACTGCTAGATGTTTAAATCTAAAGAAAAGTTTACTAGAAAAAAAGTTTTTTTTGGCCTTGCAGCTTAAGGCTAGGAAAATTTCGACGCGGTTAATAGGGCCGTGGTAGCATAATGGTCAGTGCATTCGCCCGGATAGCGAAGGATGCGGGTTCGAGTCCCGTCCGCTGCCTGGTCCGCATGGATTTTTTTCTAGTAAACTTTTCTTTAGATTTAAACATCTAGCAGTTAAATGCTTAAAATTAAATAAAATCTTAATAAAAGTTGTTTTCTAAAATAGGTTATTTATACGTTCTTGTGACAGGGACTTTTAGTTATTTTATCATATTTCAAAGTTAAGTAGCTCTTAAATAAATGATATCAAGTTTATGTTTCAAAATTAAGACACATTTGAGGGTACTTACTTAATAATTATGTATTTCTCTTAACAGAACACATGGTCGAGTGAAGAAGATTGGATTATGTTGACGAAATCTAAAGTTATTGTTGTATTGACCTCATTAGTTTAAGTTGTTTTTTAGACTTTAAAGAGCGGGTCTCGATTTTTATTTTCTTTATTTATAGTTAATTTGTTTAGGTATAATAATTGCTAACGAAATAATTTATAATGGAACTGGGTTATTTTGTGGATCATATTGTGTCCTTCTCTTACTTTCGAATGATTTTAGTGATATGCTTTAGCCATAGTTAAGTTTGATTATTGTCTTATTTTATGTGTTACCAATAAATTGGATAGTGAGTTACGAAAATCCTCATTGCTAATCTAATGTTTTTGATGTCACGTCATTTCTATTCATGATTCTTCCGTGCCTTTTGGAAAACACATTTTTAATCTTAAGATTAACAATGGAAATAAATTTAAATTAAAACTTAAAAAATTTCAGTACTTTTGTTAAAAATGTTGAAGACACTGATAAATTTTGTTCTTTTTTGCGCAATTTGTTTTATCCGCAATAGGTTCCATTTCCATTTAATGATAAAATAAAACTGGACAGTCTCCAAATGGAACCATTTGCTAATAAGTCAAATTGTGTAGCCCTAAACGTAGAAAATGTAATGTATATTTTGTCTTTCATATTGACAGAATTATCCGTTACTTACACAAACTTTGTTCAAAGTTGTTAAGTAAAGATTTTTCTGAATATAAAAACAAAGGATAAGTGGCGGTGGTCCCTTAAGGCTTCTTTGTATAAATTATCATAACTTATTCTTAGAGCTCCAGCCTCTCGCAATGTGATCGTCTAGGCGTAGGCTTTTATTATTCAGGAAACTTTTTGTAAAAAGTGTGTTTTCGCTTCGGATAACCAAAGAAAACATAATACAATACTTCATTGATAAACGCTTCGTTCCTTCATAATTTATAGCTAAATCTATCAACTGATGAATACTTTGATGATAGCACATAATGCATGCAAACTTTTTTTTTTCTATTTGCAGCTATTAAAATAATGAATATTTTATTAACCCAAATTGTTGGTTGAACACGCGGTTACGTATGACAAACATAGTTTTTAATTACCCAATTACTAAAAAAATATTTTTTGAACCAATTATTACGTTTAATAACTTGTATGTATAATTAAAGTCACCACTAAAAGTTACTTCGGTAACTTACAGGCATTATCCCCTAATAAAATATTAATTTAATCAAACATTTTTTTAAACCTATTTCGTTTCCGTTTAGTAGATATTTAATAATTGAAGGAATTTTAAAATAATACTAACTTAGAATAAAGAGACAAGTAGTTTACTTGCTTAAAACATTAACCTTCAAAAGTGAGTATTTATGTAACCTTTCATTATTTACTCCATAGATAGAGCGTGGCAGCACAGATGCGTTGAAAAAAATATCATCCACCTGGTGGGTTTTAATGTTTTAAAAAAAAGTATAGTAATTTTGACCAAATGACATATGTTTATTTTATCATTAATTGTACGAAGAATTACACCATTAAAATTATATTTTAAAGTCGTAAAGTTTACAATATTGTAAAACAAAAGTTTTGCGTCACAGAGGCTGAATAATATGTCAAATTTTAAAGGAAAATAATATGAAACTACTGAATTCAGGGTATTAACATCTTAATTTATAAAAACAAATTTTGCTGTTTACTATAATATTATCATGATGTTATATCCGTTATAAACTAGTTAAAATAAATATTCGTAAAAAGAAGTCCTGGTATATATTTTTTTTACAGACATCTAGAGAGTAAATAATCAAAGCATGTTACATGGTTTTCTCTTAATTTTTGAGCGTTTCAAATCTTTGTTGTAATTACAGAATCTTGCCATCCCGATTTCAAGAAGAGAAGTACTGAGTACTGTTTCGTAGTAATAATTTGTAAATCTAGCAGGTTCGCCATAAAAAAATCGACAACTCCAGCAGATGCCTTCCTACCTATAAAGTGTAGGCTACCACCGAAAGCAAAACCAACTAGTTCATTGAAACTCAGGAACCAAGCAAAGCTATTTTCTTAGCTTTGCAGTTAATTGAAATGGATTATGAACATACCGGGTTGCCGCTCAAATTGAAGCGGCCACCTGGGGGAGTTACCTCCATCGCAGTGACATAGCCCATTTCGATAATGTTTTGTTTCTGTCTCTGAGTAAAGTCCACTGTGCACTATCTATCTTGCTGGAACCAGCATGCGGGACAGGCCACCATGATTTAAGATATTTCAAGCCTAGCGCCTTGTATACTGGATCTTCTGCTCACGACTCATCCACAGGGCTATCTGGTTGTGGTAAGAGCCCCACTGGGCTCGTCGGATCCCTGCCTGATTTCAGCCAAAGCGCCACAGACTAAACCTTCGCATCCAGCGATGGTCAAACCGGATCTGCCTCTATGGGTCGGTAGATTGTGACGTTACGCTTCATTTCTTGGCGTCCATCCCTTGGAAGCAGCGCTGCTTCAGTGACAGGAACCTATCGGTTGCTATTACTGAGGAAATTGTTGGATTAGCAAGAACTTGGTTGAGTTCAATGCTAAGAAAACCCAGGGCTGCGCTTCCGCGGCAAAAACGTCGCCATTCCTTTACTCAGAGACAGAAACAAAACACTATCGAAATGGGTTATGTCACTGCGATGGAGGTAAGGTTTCCAGAGCTCTATGGGAAAGGAACGGGTTCTGGGTAGGCAAGGCAACGTGTGAGTATGAGTAGATAGTTTCCTCACTATGATATTTCAGCATCTTTACCATAAGTTAGGGTTCACTTATCGGAAACCTATGCACTAGTGTGGCTACATATGCCACGAAGTGAAGCGAACTCGTTTCGCTCTCGGTATGGTCTGCGCTTCACACATAAAAGTTGCAACAACTCAATCGATAGTCTTATTAATATATTACGTAATAGACTCTCCCTGTTTTAGTAATACTTATAAGATATGTATGTATTTTAAGTGAGGACAAAAATATTTAACATCTCCCATTTATTATTGAAATAATCTGACATATTAAATTCTCGTGTCACAGAGTTTGTAACAAAACTTCTCCAAAACGGCTTGACCGTTTCTTATGAGAATTTCGTGTGTATATTCAGTAGCTTTGTGACTAGGACGTAAACTATTTTTCAATACCCCTAAGTGATAGGGTCTAATCCATTGAATGTTTATGGACAAAAAAAATTATTAGTTTTTTTTTCTGATTCGACATTAAAAAGTACATACAATCCTTAATTTTACCATTCTACCACCAACCCCTATTTTTAAGGAGGTACTAAGTTTGCTGGGTCAACTAGTAATAATAATATAATACTTGTAGTCCAAGATCCCAAGGCTGCCAGGCCTTTATTTTCTGATGGACACAATATGGATAATGGAGTAATTTTAGTGTGTGTAATGAGCGTATACATACGCACTAACTTGTGCTGTGGGCTACTTCTAAGGTATAAGGTGGCAATTAATACTGACAGACATCCAATATTTATTGCCAGACACTTCAAATATCAAAAGCAAATCCCAAAATATAAAATATATACAACTCGATTATCTGTATATTTTGTCCACCAGGAAATAAAGTCTGGCAGGCCTGGGATCTTAATCTATTAGAAAAATGTATGTATATTTCAAATATTGGAAACGATATCTCAACTTGGTTTATGATGAACTAAAGTATTTATTAAAAAGATATGGTATACCATAATTTAGCGTAAAATGTACCTAAATCTTCAATTAAAGCATTAATTGGCGGAAATTATGTCTCAATTGCATAATGTATTTAAATATTGATGATATTTTTGTTATTTAATTTTTATTATTGAGCTACTTTTTCAATCTTCGATATAACATTATGTCCGTTAAGTTTTCTCACCACTAGTGGACATAATCTCCCCCATTAGTGTTTGAATAGTGTTTTCCAAACTGTGATCCCCTATAAAGACTTCTATGTAAGTACTCAAAATAATCAATAGAGAACCTTACTATAGTAATTATAAGAATAATTTAATGTCTAATTGTAAGTGTTTAAACTCAGACGTTGACACTTTTATATGACCCTTTTACAAGGGATTTGGATGTCCTTTAATTAAATGCAGTTGCAAGGAAACTTAATTTTTAACACCTAGAAAGGATTAAAGTAGTGACTAGATTAATAAATGTAATGATTTCGTCAAACGCAGTCGTCATTGTATTTTATCTATCTATCTATTAGACCGTAAAGCCATCATAATTAAAATTTACTTTATTTAAATTTTCGTTTTTGTCTAGATAAAGTCGATTTATGTTCATAAATAACATATCTCATAAATTGTAACTGTAAATCTGTTAGCTTTCTAAGATTTTGTGATTTAGTAAAGTGGCAAATAATTTATTCTACCATCAATGAATATTAGATAAGTCAGTCTAGGCCTCTTTGAATAGGGTATTTGACAAGTTTTAGAAAACGATTTCACATTATTGACTAATGTTTATGGAGTCCGTAAAAAGTGGATATTTACCATTCTGTTGAGTATTTCAGTAAAAACAACCAAATCAAAAACTCCATTTTCAAGTTGCCGCGAAAACGTTTTTCTGGACAATATGGCGTCTTTTTAGTGTGTGACGTCCCACAACTGTTAAAACGTCAAACGATACAATGTAATGTCACTTTAACCGAAAGTTTACTTGCGTGTGACGTCATTTTAGGCTCTGCCAATCCCAAGCGTATTGGGTCACGTGACAATAGATAAGAAAACTATTATCTTTTTCATGGGTGTTTAGTAAAATTATGTTTTTTTTTTGTTAAAATAGTGTAAACCCCTGCCAATATTCATTCTAAACACAGATGCTAACAATTGGCACTTTATTTTTAATACCGCCAAGTACCCTATTGTAACTATTTTGGGTTTGAAATGCATATTCAAAAGTAAAATTCGCACTAAAAATTTTTTTTTCTGGATTATTCAATTCAATTGCTATGATATTCTAAAGTCATTCAACGTGGAGACGAAAGGAATCAGAAGTCTATTTTTCAGTGCGAATTTCTTAACTCTCTCAATCACTAAAAGCATCACGAGCTAACCGAAGCTGGTTCGCACGTGTGAAAAAAGCAAATAGATAATTTTTGTGTAGACTGTTCATTAAAGTTGGTATTAGACGTTAAATTTAGTGAACGCAATAATATTTCATAAGTAGATGCACTCGTAGCGAAATTAGGCGACTGAATTCTCTTCAAGTAAGTATATTTATGGCACTACAATTACATCATTTGTATGATCACACGCTTAACACAAATTCAACGTGAAGAATACAAGAGAATTCGGTATTCGAAATAGAGTTCGATATGGGGGCAAATGTATTCCTTTTGACTTTAACTTCGTACTTTTAGTTTGAGGAAACCTTGTGTGCCCCCGCTCATCAGGCAAACAGGCCACGTTAAAACAATGCCTCTGCATATGTACTTATTCTTCTATGATTATACATGTCACCGGATTTGAAAGCTCGGCCAGCGGAAGCTTCGCGACTAGATGAAACTAATGGGGCTTTGTCAAATGGAATTTTTATTTACATATTTATTTGTTCATTTTTATACTCCTTTGAAAGTTAACAATGAATTTAAAAATAAGCATGGAAAATTAGATTTATTATATATTATACAAAATTAACAAGCTGGCGATACCTAAAACAAAGTTTATTTGTTAAAAGCAAAGCTTTTTTGGGTGCCTGAACAATTATATTATAGCATTGGCCACGTAGCCTGGCTGCCTAATGCACGAGGGTTCAAACCTATTACGGAATTGGAAACTAATGCGATAGGACAGCTCAGCTGTGCATAGATTGCGTAGTGCGTACGCCGTTGTTACAAAATAACCACTGACATCCCAATTGTGTCTACTAAACAACGCGGCGTGGTACGTGTTCGGTGTATCTAATGCTCGATCAGATTCCATTTCCAAAATGGGTATTCCGTTTAAAGAGGATTTATATAAAAGCTTTACCCCCGAGCGAGCGTGAGTAGTGTAGGCTATGAAGTAAGTTTATCTTAGACACTGTCACCTTGTTAACTATTTGTATAGAATTTTATAATATTTATCATTTCTTAATCCTCACAAGTGGTGAGTTTTATTTTTGACCTGTCGTGGTATTATTATATATCTGAAAATATATTCTCTGTGTTTCTTATTGCGTGTTTTATTGACTTTCCTTTTAAAATTAGGGTCAGGAGGGACAGCGTAAAAAACGAGCGAGCCTTACAGTAGTCGCGTATGATGTGTAACATTTGAAACCTCACCTTATATTAGTAAAAAAGAAATAAAACCTACTACAAAAGGAATAAGCCATTTGAACATTATGTTCTAAAATTAAATCAAACAGCGCGCGCTTTCGAGACTTCCTGTTACACATTTCCGTCCCATTTCACGAAATTACTCCCACAAATTGCAGAAAAGCGAGAGGAAAGATGTTACACATCAAAAAAGGGTACATTGTAACATAAGAAATTTCTGTATTATACCCGTCCATTTGACATGTACGTCGACCATATGAAACAATAAATCACGTCAAGACAGCCCATAGACAATTTAGAAAAGGGCAGAGATATTCCTTATGTTACACTGTGCCCCTTGTTACACTGTCTCCCACTTGACCCTATTTTTTAATTACGCAGGTAAAACCTCTATTTACAGACGTAACGAACGGACCTCACACCTAGCCTCTCACGGGTGCGAAATGGAGAAGCCGTCATGCAGTCCGCACGACTTACGAGCGCTTACGGCAAACTATCCGCTTAAAAGCCCTGCGAATACCCTCTACACTGTAAAGTGTGGAACCCCGAGATCCCCGTTGAGAGACTTCACCGCGTCTTCGCATCCTTGACCCTATCTTTTTATCGTGCTCATAAAGTAAATATGGATTTACTTTGCATCCAGCATGTCTCGACATTTTCATTCCCGAGCGTTAAATTTGGCAATTGTTCATGAAATAAAATAATGGGTATGTACACTAAACATACTAGCCGTCTACCTGGGGTGAGTAAATTAGAGAACCATTCTAATCGCATCTATATTATCGTCCAGTTTATGATGCTATTCAACTAAGAATAGGATCGACTGGGAGCCATATTGTGACGTCACAGCTGTCAATTCACACCAGTTAGGTAAGAGTGAGCAAAAACAGTTTTTCTTTAATAAAACTTATTTACCAATATTAAGAGAGAAAACATATAAGATTTTTAATAATATTTATTTATTAAGACTCAGTGAGAAAAAACATTAATCAGATCTAGCTCTTTAATTCCGCTCATCTCTGCACTACCGCCGGAGTACCACCATCATCACTGCTGCTTTCGGCTATAAAATAAAATATCAATTATTGTAGGTTTTAAAACGACAAATTTATTTAAAATAAAAACGGTATTTTTATTACCTGTATTATTAATAAAACTAAAGTTCTTATATTTCCCTTTTCCAGTACTCGTATTGAAAAATACGTTTCACATGATTTATTCCCTTCTTTTGTTTACAAATGTTTGCTATTTATTCTAAAATTATAATAAGAAATAGTAATAAAAAAAATATTCAGTATTAATTTTTACATAGTGACTTAGATCCAGGACTTGTTTACCGGTTAATTTTCAAACCTAAATCAGTGTCAAGTACATTAGGAGCGTTTTATTTAGGTTTGGCTCTACCTTAAAAAACCGGTTTTCCTAAACTGCGAAATCAAATAGGTTTGGTCAGAGGTCATTGGCTTTCCTATTCTTATTTGAATCGCATAGTAAGTGGTCTGCGTACGCGCACCGCCCTAGCCACGGTAATATTATCTATAGCGATGCGGTCTGATCTTTACTGCATTTATTATTACTGTGGTTGTTGTTTACGAACTTTTGTGGCTTCGATGAGTGATTAGAAGATAATTATGAGAATATTGCGTATGCGATCTGCTGTGAAATACTGTGCAAAGTTATTGTTAATTTTAGTGGTCTGGCCTCTGTGTTTTAGGAATTGAGGGACAACTCTTATAAGTCTGTTTTTATTATGTCCAATTGCCCACTAAGTATGTTTTGGCAATTCGAAGCAGCGGATCCAGCCGGCCGAACTAAAACTTTGAAATATATGAAAAAGGTATCTTGCTTTATTTGTAAAAGACTAATATAAAAATATTCGAAAAGTAATATGTGGAGACCAGATGACCTGTATTATAGGTTTTTTACCACAAGCAACGGTGAATTTATACTAGCTTTACTGGCCCACATATTAATAGTGTTTCTCTGTATTTAGTTTGAGGTGAGAAATAAACAGTATTTAATATTAGTATTTATTATAACAAAGAAAAAGCGGACGTTCGTCGTGGAGATCCACTGAGTGCTCCGCCGCGGGACCCATTCAACCCGCGAGCCCCACGAAAGGCTCTCGCAGCCTATGAGACAAACACGCCGAGCGGACGCCCGCTCCGTCCCCGCTGAACGGTGCGCCCGCTCTCATTAATTTAATTTCAAATAAAATTATTTTTTATTTCAGTTTTGTAATGTAATAAAAAAACATTCATCATCATCTAATGAGCCATTTCTTCACTCATTGATAATTAAATTCATTAATTTAAGCACGCGCCATAAGCATTTATTTGTATCAAATATCCGTGTTGTCGTATTCATTTTATCATTATAATTATCAAGGTATAATCGCCTTGCGACAAAAATCAACAAAATCATAACACTTATGTCATCTGTATATTATCATAACACTACATACGTAGGGAGTTGTCAAATACATAAGATTACTTAGGTTCCTAATTGAATGGTTTGTTGTCTTAAATGTAGAATTAAGTCAAATACAAACTTAAAAGTCAAGTCACAAGAAATAAAACATCCAATTACAATCACATACGAAGTTTATTAATGGTAATAATTTGAAGATTTATTTTGTTTCCAGTTCAATATTAATTACACACTAAATAAACCTTTCTACAAACTACCCAGTATCAGATATTATTGTTGTTAACTACTTGTTATTGTTACCCAAAATATATTAAAACTACAATCTAATCAGTTGACGATAATAACATTCGCGTTTATTACACGTAAGGTAACCAACGAAGACAATCATATCGTACAAACACAGTGGGCTAATTTTAGCAATTTGCGGAAGAAAAAGTGAAAATGCAAAAATATATTTCAAGGCATATAAACTAATTGATGATTATAATAAAAAAAACATTAAAAG